AGTGTATCAATCCGCAATATGTCTGCATTTTTCTGTTCTGCTCACCCTCAACTCAGTTTCTGCTGCACAGAAACAAATGAAATGTCAGTCTCTGACATTTCAATAAAAAATAAAAAATATAAGCTTTAAAAGTACAAGGCACTACTAGTCAGAACAGACCACAACTATATTGGCAACTATAGTGGCAGCAGACATTAAATTAGTGCACCTAATCAAACCTATACTTTACATTATACTGTAGGGGGAGGCAGGCTCAACTGATATTGGCAGCAGTAAACCATGCATGAAACAGGACACCCAGGAACAGTCTAATGCCTAGTATACATGATGAGAACATTGGATGCAAAATACCATTTTCGGAGCGGTCTTCCAATAATCTGATCATTAATACAGCTTTCAAGAGCCAAGGGACAAGCACAAAACATTTTCTGGTATGATACCAGAATGAACAATTTTTGTTTAATGAGTACAACTGTTTCCTGTGTGTCCCTGCAGTGACAGACATGTTACCATGCGGTCACACGTCTGTCACTGCATATAGTGTGAATTGGCCCTCAATTTCCCCATCTACGCTAAACAGTGTGGGTGGAAGAATCTGAAGCACTGCCTACTGTATTCTGATAGCTGGCACCTGTGTCTGTCAGAGAACTTGAACAGTCCCGGCATCTGTTTGAATTTAGAGGCTACTTAGCTGAGAATTTTCTGCCCAGCTCCTTTAAGAAAAATCAAGTGAAAAATTGACTTTTGTCAAGCTGGAGTCAGCTGACCTTTGACCTGAGCTTTAGTCCTAGGTAAGGCCACAATCAGGTAAAAATAAGTAGCTCAACTTTTTTATTATTATACAGAATTTATATAGCGCCAACCAGGGGCGGACTGACCATTTGAGCACTCAGCTCTGCCCAAGGGCCGGGGTTAGTAAGAGTCCCCATGAGATGCCCCTGGTACCTTTCATAGGGCTTTTTGGGTGTGGTTTGAGTGTGGGCGAGGACACAGGGGCCCCATAATCTATTATTGCCTGGGGGCCCCATCAGTTGTCAGTCCACCCCTGGCGCCAACAGTTTGTGCAGAACCTTACAATCTAAAGGGAGACAGTACAATTACAAAACAATAAAATACAAGAGGGTTAAGAAGGACCTGCTTATAAGAGCCTACAATCTAAAAGGTGGGCAAGTGGCACAAATAAGTGTGTGTAATGAACTGATGGAAGAGTTAAAAGTTTGATGGTTAGTTGGAGGCTTTCCTGAAGAGATGAGTTTTTTCAGGGATCACCTAAAGGTGGTCAGAGTAGGAGATAGCCAGACAGATTGAGGTACAGAGTTCCAGGAGATGGAAGAGGCTCTGGAGAAGTCCTGGAGAGAAGCATGGGAGAAGACAAGAGAGATAGAAAGCAGGAGGGCTTGGAAGGGGCAGAGAGGACAGTTTGGGTGATATTTGGAGACAAGATTGGTGATGTAGCTCGGGGTAGAGCTGTCAATGGCTTTTTATGTTGTTGTTAGTATTTGAATTTAATTTGCTGGGCAATCAGAAGCCAGTGAAGGGATTGGCAGAGATGGGTGACAGACACTGATCAGTTGGTAAGGTAGTTTAGTCTGGCAGCAGCATTTATGATAGGAGCCAGAAAGCTGACTCCTGCACAATTCTTGGTCATCAGGGCTTTTTCATGACAAGCACTATCCAAGGGCAAATAAGTTCCAGGGGCTATAACAGGCAACAACATCTTTATATACTGTACAGTTCTAACATGAGGAAGGTTTCCTAGGCACCAATTTAAAATGGCACCAAGTCTAAAAGGGGCCCTATTTTTCATACGTATAGAAGCATCTACATATTTATACTAATAATGGTAATATTAGTATATCTCCTAGATTGTAAGCTCCAAGGAGCAGGGCCCTCAAATCCCTCTTGCATTGAACTGTATTGTTGCTGTACTGTCTCCCGTTATATTGTAAAGCGCTGAGCAAACTGTTGGCACTATATAAATCCTGTATAATAATATTATAATAATAATAATAATATTAGCCATTTTTCCCATTTGTTGGAACTAAACATCTATATTTACCAAAATGTGGGCGGCGGTTGGTTTTTCCTTCAGAACATATCACATTTGGAAGTGAAAAATTAGTCAGCAATATCTTTTATTTTTCTTTTAAGAAATATCTTTATTGCTAAAGATACATTTATACTGCCATAAGGGTCAATCTATTGAAGCTTGTAATTAAGAAAGCTGTTTCATGTAGTTTGAAGCCTGCAGGCATTCAAACATTTCCCATTAGCGGACAGAGGGATTTTCGCTTGACACTGCAGTTTTAGAGGCTGGCTGCTGTATAAACGTTCTTTAATCCTAAAAGACACTGAGATGTGAGCGCATTACAGTTTGTATGAATTGCAATCAGCATAGAACATTTCTATGAAAATACAAGCAGCTGCTGTATTTTCCATTGAAATGATGTGAAGGATCCCATGCAGAACACAGTGTAGACACACAAGTGACTCATGTATCTGTGCTTATCAGTCCTTGTACACTTTCCAGGCTCCAATAAAAAGGACTGAGTGACATGCAAGCTGTCCCATTGTTCCTTGTCAGCAATGGCAAGCCACACACATCATGAGCCTGTCACTTGTGTCTTTTATCGCTCCAACCTGTACAAGGTTATCAGTTGCTTAGGGTTCTTCCAGCCTGTAATGCAATAAATGAAAGTTACAGGGTATAGTGACAGTTTTATTGCTCTTGGTAATTAAGTTTTAGCCCAGTTTTGCTACCCTGCTATTAATGTAAAACATTGCATTTTTAAACATACATTTTATGTTTGGCTGGCTATCAAGCTAATTGTAGCTTTCTATCAATGTGTCTGAGCATAGATACTGCCATCAAAAGGACACTTGCCCATGAATTCCACTTCAAACATAAAAATGTATGTCAGGATTACTATGTACACAGCAGAACAAAGGAGGAAAAGCTGACAAAGGCAGGTTATTTAAAGTGTACCACTAGGCAAAACCTTTATTTTAAATTTTGGATAGAGGGGTGATGGAGAGCTCTCTGTCAAGTTTTTACTACTGTAAGGAATATGTAAACTGAAGCACCATACAACTGCTAAAAGATCTAGATATGACTTTATTCCACTAAACGTTCAGGGGGCAATCCAAAGTTATGTCCATAACTTTAACTATATGTAGGCACCAGCGGCAGCACCCTCCAGAGTGAAACTGAAGCTCTGATTGCTGTATGTAAAGAAAACACAGAGGGGCGCCAGACTAAGTGCAGTATGGGACAATTCCATTTATTAAAATATAGCAAATTGGAAACTGACTATTGAACAGATAGAATACGCATATAAAGACATCTCAGGAGGCTCCCCAGGGTGATCCGGCTGATATTCTGTGGCCGCTGTAGTCCAAGTCCAGGAGTGAAGCAGTGACGGACGGTCGAACGCTGCTGGAACCAGTGTTGAACGCAAGATGGCGTCAAACCGGAAGTGACAGCTCCTTGGTGTCATCAATTGTGTCATCAATTGTCCCATACTGCACTTAGTCTGGCACCCCTCTGTGTTTTCTCTATGTTATTATGTTACCTTTCCTTTTCTCTGCAGCAGTGTAATTTTCTGTAAAATTCAATGCAATGTGGCAACCTGTATACCATTGGTGTACAGAACGTCTTCAAAAATGTAATTTCCTGCATGTGTTATTGGCTCATTGATTTCCCCAGAAGACTTCACTAAAAGGAGAAGTGTGGGATTCTATAAAAAATATATACCTCACTGCTGCATCATTGCCCTGATGCTGCAGCTTTCCCCCGCCGGCTCTAACACTGAGAACTGATCAACCAGTTCTTGGTCTGCTCTGAGCAGAGAACAGTGACTGACCCTTCAACCCTCAATGGAGCACAGGACTGGGGAGGGGGCAGGAGCTGCCGATTAGGCATCTGGGTGAATCCCAAAATTATTGTCAGGATCCTTCCAGAGTCTGGCGCGAAGTCTCATCAAACCACTGAAAGTGCATCAGCTGACTTAGAGTCAGTTTTGCGATCAGTGCGGTGAAACGGTTATTCCTTCAGAGAAGAACTAGGTAGGAATCTGTAACAAAGTTTATTTAAATCGATTGTTTTTTTCTTTCCAACAAAAGTGGAGTTATTATGTAAATATGATTATCTCTTACTGTTCATTTAGGCATTTCTTAACAATGTTTATACCTGATGTTATAGATGTATCTTCTGGTTTCTTTATATTGTGCTGATTTTTACTTATTATTCCTTTTCCCTATTATATGACAAATTTAATTATTGATGATCCTTAGTTAGTTAATGTAGTTTTCTGAATGAATGAACTATTCAGGGTTACATGCACTAACTATATTCAATGCCATATATAGTACGTACTGAGAAATACAAACTGAAATGGGATCTAGCAGGCTGACGATGGGGAGGAATTCCCTGAAATGCATCTCACCCATATGCATGTATGTATGCAGTGAGAGGAACCTAAGATTACCGTTTGGACTGTTACTTTAACCGCCTCTCACCCACCATATAAAGGCGGCTCTCTCGTTCTGGGAGGACATCATATGACGTCCTCCCACTCTAACTGTGCATGCGCGCCCCCGTGGGCCCACGGCATGGTGATCTGCAGATCACCGATCACAGTAAAGAGCCGATGGCATAGGCTCTATCATGTGATCAGCTGTGTCCAATCACATGTAAACAAGGAAATGCCGGTTATCGACAGTCCTCTCCTCACGCTGACAGCGTGTGAGGAGAGGAGAGCCGGTAAGAGGCATTCCTCAGAGGGGACATCTACACTGATCATTGGGGCACTGATGATCAGTGACTTGATGATCAGTGTAGCCTCATCAGTGCCATCTGTCAGTGCCCATCAATGGCACATACCAGTGCCCATCAATGCCACATATTAGTGCCTACCAGTGAACATCAATGCCACATATCAGTATCCATCAGAGCTGCCTTTCAGTGCCAACTATCAGTGCCAGTCAGTGCCGCCTATCAGTGTCAGTCAATGCCGTCTATCAATGCTGTCAATCAGTACCACCTATCAGTGCCCATCAGTGCCACCTATCAGAGCTACCTGACAGTTCCAATCAGTGCCACCTATTAGTGCCTATCAGTGCCATATGTGAGTGCTGCCTTTCATTGCCCATCAGTGATGCCTGTCAATGCCCACCAGTAATGCCTGTCAATGCCCATCAGTGCCACCTACCAGTGCCTCCTCATCAGTGCTGCCTATCAGTGCAGCCTATCAGTGCCCGTCACTGCAGCCTCATTAGTGCACATCAGTGAAGGAGAAAAATTACTTATTTACAAAATTTTATAACAGAAATTAAGAAAAATAACTTTTTTATTCAAAATTTTCAGTCTTTTTTTGTTTGTTTAGCAAAAAATAAAAACTCCAGTGGTGATTAAACACCACCAAAAGAAAGCTCTATCTGTCTCAAAAACAAAGATAAAAATTTTGTTTGGGTACAATGTTGCATGACCGCACAATTTTCATTCAAAGTGCGACAGCGCTGAAAGCTGAAAATTGGCCTGGGCAGGAAGGGGGTAAAAGTGCGCAGTAGGCAAGTGGTTAAATATTTCCATATCTGGAAGATGGAATTTTTTTATGGACTTTATCACTTGATGCTCACCACAGGACTGCATATAGGAATTCAGATTGTTATGTACTCTTAAGCTCTGCATGCTTTTATCTATGTAGGTTTCTGGAGCACCTATCAAATATCTATCACTTTACAATGGATTCTTTACATAATGTATAAATATCTTTGTGCTGATACCTGATGGTAATTCAGTGTAATTACAACTTGTAATGTAATGTCTGAAAATTATATATTCCAGTTTACCTGCATGTCTGGATCAGCTTGTTTGGTCCTTAGTTGGACCTTTTTTCTTGGTGTTCCCTGTTTTTACTTTCCAGCCTTCGCAGTGGGCACAAGGTGTAGTAGATCATTGCCCATTTACATTTTGATATGATTGGTCAACATCCATGTACTACATTTTCACAAGTAAAAACTACCTTTGATTAAACTGCAGTGTTTGATTGGAGAGTTGAGCTGTCTGTGGAGGGCACTTATTCAGCAAGTTGCCTTGAAAAAGTCACGTGATAGCGTGACGTAACGAGTAGGACGCGAGAGTGGTGATGTACTTCCGGCGCGAACGCCATCTTGCTGCACCCAATGAGTTCCCATGCAAGTACACCTTTAGCATGAGGTCTTTTGAAAAGCTTGTTATAATCTTACTAAATGTGAGTGGGCATTTGGCTGTGCTGTGATTTGAGAGTCCCTATTAAAACAGATTTACACTAGGGGAGGTTTCTTTTTATCTTTATCCTATCTGTGAGTTGGTGGCTGGCTGCTTTATACTGGAGGGGACCTGACTGTTCCTAGTGAGGGGGATATCATCTACCTGAGCAGGTGTCTATTACCAGTGAAGATTGCTGGCTTCAAATAACAAAAGCGTTTTGGCCCTTTGAGGGTCGCATCAAGGAGGTGAGGGGGCATTTTAGCCACATACGGATTATCTCCATCGGTGGTGATGCACATCCACAATATCACCTGCACTTAGGAGTAATTGGAAAGTTTTTGGTGTATATGCACCTATTTGGACTTGGTTGTTTTAAGTTTTTTTATTCTTTCATTTTTTTTTTGTTTTTGTTTTTTTTTTTATGTTTACGGACTATTATATGTTCACTTATTTTTTTTTTTTATGTGTTTGCTCATAAATATACCTTTTGTATGTGTGTTTTTTGGAACTATTGTATTTCATCGATCCCACATTTAGGGATCCATTTTATGTCACTATTTACTCTTTGGACTTAATTTAGCCATTATTTGTCATGATCTGTATGATATTGTTGATCCCTGTTAGGGGTTCACGTTCTCATTTTCACCATTATTTGCATGAATTTAGTGATCCCTATTTAGGGATTCACGCTTATTTGTGTTTTTATTTTGTGTATGATCCTATTTTGGATAGTGGGGGTATTGGTTCCTGGTGTTATACCAGGTGTGACCACTTTTTCACTTGAGATCCCAGAAAGGATCAATCCACTGATTTATTGGCACGTATATATATTTTATGTCACTTTATATTGAGATCCCCAGAGAGGATCAATCGACTGATTTATTGGCACATATATATATTTTTATGTCACTTTATATTGAGATCCCCAGAGAGAATCAATCCACTGATTTTTTTTGTCACATATATATATTTATGTCACTTTGTTTGTTTTTGCCATATTCTATTATTTTGTTATTAGGGTAGCACTGCATCATTTTGGTTTTGTTCGTTTTTATTTCCACATGGTATATGGTTAGGTGCTAGCAGCTCCCACTCACCTAATTTATCACGTAATAGTAGCGCAGGAGATCTTCTTTATTTTTGTTTACTTTAAGATGAGTTTATTTATTTTAACAGTAAGCAGTAAACAGAACATTTTAATATTAGTTTATTTAGGTGTTTTCTGTTTAGACAGAAATGTAATGGATATTTTTCTGTTTCCTTTGAAAGATGCATAAAAACCTTAAGCATTCATATAGCCAAAAAAATAAACATCATGTGAAAACTAAACTAAGCAAGTATTGTCTAAATACAAGAAGCATGTGTATTCATATTTAAAGGATAAGTTCACTTTTTAATAAAAAATAGTAAATGTACATTTTTTTGTTGGTAAAAAAAACATGCATTTATTATATTTTGTTTGTGGAGCCTCTACAGCATTGCACCAGTGATAAGCAGATTGCTGGTGCCATGCAGGTCTCCCCCTGACCTGTCAGTATATCTGCTTGTTCGAACATCCCGTACGGGCAAGCAGATAGTTACTGACAGGAAGGCTCAGTGAACTACCATGGCGCTGTGGAGCCCCGTGGTAGTTCATTGAAAACTACAATCTGTCCTACGTACTTCCTTTTTTCTCTTTCTCCCCTTTCTTTTTTAATTTCAGCTTTTTGGCTCTTCCGCAGGGACGTTTCTGAACCTCATGATGTTCTCACATCTCCTATTTTGCTAGCATTTTAGCATATCTTCTTGGCTATAGTTCACTTTAATGATGTTGGCTGCTGAACTACCATCGAACAACTTTTCTATGCACTGATTACCTATCCGACATGAAATGTTTGTTCTACCTCTGTTTTTTGGATATGTTATCCAAGCCGTTACCTACTTTAACTATATTTCATACATTTTAAACAGCGGTTGACTACTGTTTGTGGTTGAAATTCTGTTTTTGTCTTTGAAAGCGGTCAAGTTTGTATCCTGTACTTGAAATACTAAAAAAAACAATAAAAACCTATTGAAAAGGAAACTACAATCCGACAGTCGCAAAGGCTGTAGGTACTTGTGGTTTTCCCATTCACAAAATACTGTGCATGAGTGACATGGTGGGGTTTATTTACTAAAGCTGGAGAGTCCAAAATCAGACTCCCTTCTGCATAGAAACCAATCAGCTTCTAACCTCAGCTTGTTCAATGAAGCTTTGGCAATGAAACCTGGAAGCTGATTGGTTTCTATGCAGAAGTGAGTCTGATTTTGGACTCTCCAGCTTTAGTAAATAAACCCCGGTGTGTCTCCCCGCTAAATTGTTACAACTAGTAAGGAGAAGAAGAATCCCTGCTAGCTGTCACAACAGGGAGTGGAAGGGAGTGGGGGCCGGTCCAATCGTAACATGTAACATGAATATGGATGTAACATGTAACATGTTACGAAAGGTGAACTTATCCTTTAAATCTTGGTGTGCTTTGCATATTTCTTTCAGATCAGTGCAGTAACCCAGCATAAATCTATGCCTTTGAGCAAGAGTTTCCAAATATAAAGACCGATCACTGCTGTTCTCTCTCCCTGTGCAGGGTGACAGGTCTTGTATCCGCCCTTCCTGTAGTTTTCTGCAGGCAGCATGTAGAGCAAGGGTGTCAAACTGGCGGCCCTCCGGCTGTTGTGAAACTACACATCCCATCATGCCTCTGCCCTTGGGAGTCATGCTTGTAACTGTCAATCTTGCAATGCCTCATGAGATTTGTAGTTTGGCAATAGCTGGAGGGCTGCCAGTTTGACACCCATGATGTAGCGAATGGACCTGTTGGGTCCCTCCCACAACTCAGGCTATGTTCAGTATAGTGATGATGTCACTGCTATTTTAACAAGGCAATATCTGGGTTTACAAAGGGGATTTAAATTCTTTGTGGCTATTGAGGAATATCTTTAAGTGAAGATTTCTGAGCCTAGAGTTCAGCTTTAATTATTACCAGTACAGTTGTTAAATTAAGCCTAAACCTACATGCACGTAACCTAACATTTCAAAAAGAGACCACAAATTATCTTATTAACATTTTACCCAAAACACCCCCTTGTCATCCTATATCACTGTGAGGCTTCTTGCGACTATTATTATAATAAAAGAAGTTAAAAAAAAATATCAGCAGCTTGCAGTAAAAAAAAGTATTGTCCTAAATTCAATAATCAGAAAATTAAAAGCTGTTTCGAGAGACAGAAGACATTAGGTTTTGAGTGAGGAAGAAACCAGCAGGGCCCACAGTGTGTTACCTAGACGAAAAGATCTTTTTAGTACTTTGAAATCGCTATTCTCAAGCGACTAATTCCTGACCCCACGTAGAGTAGCATCCAAATAACTGTAATTATCTCCTGACATAAATGGTGTATCGACTGTATAGTTACAATTGATTTTTGCCTAATTATTACTCGTTGTTGTTTAACAAGGAGTTCTAAGAGGAAAACAATAACTACCTGTGGACAGTGCGGGGATTAAGGAAATGAAGCTGCTGGGAAGGAAAAATACATGCAGCGATTATTAGAGACTTGAACTTTGAAATTAGTATTTTCTTTGATATTAACATAAAACATCCCGCTGAAAGGAGAACTATTGAAAGTGAATGAAATGCAACAGTCCCACCGGCAACTAGGCTAGTGAGTTGAGACTGCTTTATGAAGCAGATTGAAGGCTTTTGCAAGCAAGCCTCGCTGTAGAGCTCTGTGTAGAAAATTGACTTTTCTATGATGCTTATGTTGTAATGAGAATAATTAAAACGCAGGGCCTGATTTACTAAACTAAGT